TCTCCTGGGCATGTAGAGCTATGCCTCTCACACATCACTGTCTCCTGGGCATGTAGAGCTATGCCTCTCACACATCACTGTCTCCTGGGTGTGTAGAGCTATGCCTCTCACACATCACTGTCTCCTGGGCATGTAGAGCTATGCCTCTCACACATCACTGTCTCCTGGGTGTGTAGAGCTATGCCTTTCTCACATCCCCATTTATCAGGTGTGTAGAGCTATGCCTGTCTTACATTCTAGTCTATCGGATGTGTAAAGCTATGCCTGTCTCACATCCCCGTTTATCAGGTGTGTAGGGCTACACTTTTCTCACATCCATGTGTCCTAGGCATGTAGAGCTACGCCTTTCTCACATCCCCGTTGCCAGGCATGTGTAGCTCTGCCTTTCTCACATCTCTGTCTGGTACAGTCCCACAGGATCTCGCCGGGAGAAGCCCATGGAAGGATCTGGCCTCCTTCCAGCATGACATGGCTTCCCGCGGCTTTCCGTCCCAGAGTCACAGTGCACTCGGGGGGCCACGTAACCTCCATCGGCCTCATGCCTATAAAAACACAGCCCTCACAGAAATTATAGTCATTATGTGCCCAGGTCCCGTCCCTTCAGCTAAAATGCCTCACTGGCTGACACAGTGGTGCCACGGCTTCCCTGTAATTGTGTATGCCCTCATTAGCGCCCCCTGCAGCCAGGAAATGTAACCTCCCTGTCCTTGTTTAGAGGGATGCCTTGGCCTGGTGTACAAGGGCATGCCCTTTATTTACACTCCACCCTGGCTGGTCTTCATAATTAACAGGCTGCTTGTGCCATAGTGCGGTGGAGGTGCTCACTGCGGTGGAGGTGCTCACTGCGGTGGAGGTGCTCACTGCGGTGGAGGTGCTCACTGCGGTGGAGGCGCTCACTGGATTTACATGCCGCCCGAATGGGCAGACAGCAGTGCCTATGTGGCATACAGCTTTGGGTGTTGCTGTGTTTGCTTTGTGTCATTTCCCCTGAAGAATGTGCCTCTCTCCCATGAGCCAGGCAAAGCCAATGTCAACGTGCACTGGGAGGACGAGTCATGGGAGGGGGTGCCGCTGAACCCCGTCCGCATCGCCTTCATGCTGGTGATCCACGGCCGGGCTGCCCGCCAGTTCCAGCGCCTCTTCAAAGCCATTTACCACTCGGCCCATTTCTATTACGTCCACGTTGACGAGGTACCGACCCCCCCCCCCCCCCCCCCCCCCCCCCGCAACCCCCCCCCCCCACCCCTTCCCGTGGGTGGCGTCATGTCTCCCACTGCTGGAGGAATTTGCCTCTGGGCCCAGGTCCAATCCAAAGCCAAGCGGCACAGTTGTTTTGAACCGACCCTATTTCAGATAAATTATTAATCAGATTATATCTATTTGTCAAGTGAAAGAAAACAGGCGTCAGAATAAAGTGTCACTCGCATGGAGAGGCGAGATCTCAATGGCGGGGTGGGGGGGGGCGGGGGGTGTAGTGTTTAAAAGTGGCCCTAAGAGGAGCATTTGTTGTGAAAAGCGGGCCCTGTGCTTGGAGCCTGTAATTAACCATTTATCAGGGTTATTTGAGTGATGTTTCCTGCTATTAGATGTCAGTTGGTCAGGTGCTCATCCTGTTTATGTTCAACTGTGAACCTAGAAGTTCGTTCAGTCCCTTGTTATATCACAGAAACTTCATGTTTTGGCAGGAGACGTATGTTAAATGTATTTAAAGTAAGAAATGTGGTCATCATGCTGTTTATTGCACGATTCAGGATTTTGCCATCATTTTCGTGTTTCCCTCGAACTTCTTCCTTCCACGTGCCTTGTAGCGTTCCAGCTACCTGCACCGCCAAGTGGTGACCCTCTTGAGGCAGTATCCCAATGTGCGGGTGACGCCTTGGCGCATGTCCACCATCTGGGGCGGAGCCAGCCTGCTCACTATGTACTTGCGGAGCATGAAGGACCTCCTGGCCATGAGCGACTGGAGCTGGGACTTCTTCATCAACCTCAGCGCTGCTGACTATCCAATCAGGTGAGGGCGCTGAGCTGTGCAGTGAATCGTGGGGTGGGGCTGATGAGCAGGGGCGGGTCTTACCTTACAGGCTGCTTGAGACTTTGGGGAAATGGGCTAGTTAGCCACGTAGCTCACGGTGAATGAATCCGGGCTCAGAATAAACACTAACGATGGGTGAAATCGTTAACTCCTTTAATAAGCAGCGTTAATAACAGAGGCAAGACTCTCTTCTGGCCGAGGGCCACTCAGAGTTTGTTCCAGCTGGTGCTTTCATGATGCTATTGAATAGTTTACATGGGTAATTGATTACTAAATTGTTCTTGCTCTGTATATCGACGTTTCTGGGGTCCTGGTGTAAAAGCTGCTGGCATGTTTACTTACTCGTCTCGAGATAAAAATCGGGTGCTGAAGGTAAACTTTGGACCAAAGACGTCGGGGAGGGTGCAAATTCCCATAATGCCCGCCAGCTCCGAGCTACCCTTACCTGTCCTAAATACTCAAGGTCAAGCTCCTCATGCCCTCATTATCCTGGAAGCTTACAGATTCCCCAGGTCAGTTCTTTAAAGGTGCCTTGACGTCATGAAGTGCAGCCCACTGTCTGGTATAACTGCACGTTCCTCTGGGTGGCACCATTGAGCTGGAACTGATCCCTGGGAGGCCTGTTGTGACCTGGACTTGCCCTTTCTGCTCCAATCGTCCCGTTAAGGGGTCTCCCCCTGCTGGATTTCTGACCTGGGGAGGTGTGTGGCCCTTGGTTACTCTAGGGACTGTCTGCCCTTGCTGTCTCAGTTGTGCATCATGCTAAATGCATTCATTTATGTACGAATCTCTGGACCAGAGAGAGCTGACAGCTCTGTGTGGCTGTCAGCCGGGTCAAAGGTCATTCTGCTCTCTAATGGCACCAAAAGCGAGCGCTTCGCGCTCTCATCTCCCCTCCGTGGGTTTCTGTACGTTCCTGCTGATGGTTTGGTAGCAGGATGCCGGGTGCTAACTGCCACTTCCTGTTTCATTTCTTGCTGAGGTGTTTTTTTTTTTTTCCCCGCGTGGTTTTCTTTCTGCAGCTTCGCCGTTTAACCGTAATCACTGTCTGAGAGCTGGTAACAAACAAACCAGCCTGCCTCAGCATCTTAACCCTGCCTGGGTGGGGGACCATCAGGCTGTTACCATAACCGTCACACGGTCAGTGGTTTTTATGGCGCTGGCGGGGTGACCAATCAGAAATGCCGTAAGAGGAGGAGTGTTATGTGTAACACAGTGTTGTTCTGTAGCTTTTCGGAGGCCCAGCAGACGTTGTTTGAGATAAAGTCTGCACTTCTGCTTCGGTTACTCTGACAGGGCCGTTCCTGGAGGGCTGTGTGCATGGTTATGGGGGACATGCCCTAGACCCCCACATCGCGCTCACCCTGTTCCTGCGCCCCCTCGGCGCTCTGCACACCCATGTGGGGGCCTGGCCGTCAGAGCAGAAGGCACTGTGCATCCATTTAAAGGGGCACCCCACACAGGCTACACCTCCATCGGGATATTCCTCAAATGCAGCCTCATTTTTCTGTGTGGGAGGGAGGGAGGCAGGCGGGCAGTGAGGGAGGGAGGGAGGCAGGCGGGCAGTGAGGGAGGGAGGCAGGCGGGCAGTGAGGGAGGGAGGCGGGCAGTGAGGGAGGGAGGCAGGCTGCGACCCTCAGGCAGACAATCAGCCGGCAGCGAGTAGGGTGCAGAGTGCAGGGTGTGACCCAACTGCTAGATCCATCAGTGTCTGCCATGGAGAAACGGCCCTGAAAAAACACCTTCTGTGAAAAAGGCCCCCTCTGCCCCCATTGTTAATCTTTTCTTTTACTAAAGCCTCCAGGAAAATATCTGCTTAGGACTCCAGCGCTGAAGAGGCAGTTTTCCACTAACGTGGGAAATAACACATTGTCTCTGTCTGTCTGTCTGTCTGTCTCTCTCTCTCTCTCTCTGTCTGTCTGTCTCTCTCTCTCTCTCTCTCTCTCTGTCTCTCTCTGTCTGTCTGTCTCTCATCCTTTCTGTCTATCTGTGTGTGTCTGTTTGTGTGTGAATAAAACATGAAGAAAATGTGTCTGAACCATAAAGGGGCATTTGCCCACAGGAAACTGATTTCACCAACACCCGAAAAATGTGATTCAGCTCACTTGCTTTCGTCAGGTTCAGCAGCATGTCTCACCCCGCCCTTTTCCCCGCCCCTTCCCTGATCTCCACCCCTCTGCTGTCCACAGGACCAATGATCAGCTGGTAGCCTTCCTGACCAAATACCGCGACATGAATTTCATCAAGTCCCACGGGAGAGACAACGCCCGGTGAGTGTGCACGCCTCCGTCTTGTGACGTACGTGTTACAGCCTGTGACACACCCCTCTCCTCAAGCCCCTTCCTGTGACCCTCTCTATGTCGGCCTGCTACCCTCCCAAATGGACAGCATGGGCTTAGTTTGAGATTGATTCTGCTTAGTCTTGGTCCAGCCAGCTTAGCTTCCATCTCTGCCCCCCCCCCCCTCACAGGTTTATCCGCAAGCAGGGCCTGGACCGCCTCTTCTATGAATGCGACACCCACATGTGGAGGTTGGGGGACCGCAAGATCCCCGAGGGCATCTCCGTGGACGGGGGCTCTGATTGGTTCCTGCTCAACCACGCCTTCGTGGAGTATGTGGTCACCTCCCGTGACGACCTAGTCACCAGCATGAAACGCTTCTACTCCTATACCCTGCTGCCCGCAGAGGTGAGTTCTGGGACCAGGGGGCTGACAGCGCCTCCTGCAGGCTATGAGCATTTCAGCTTCCCTCTCAAACACAGACTCATCTCTATGGTTAACAAGACAGTGACCTTCTGATGCACCACAGCAATTATGCTCCTGGGTCATGTGATTTTAACCTGGTCCCCCGTCATGGCAGACATGCCACTCTAACGTGACGGCTCCCTCTCCCCCTCCCCCGCGCCCCCAACCCACCCCCAGTCTTTCTTCCACACGGTCCTGGAGAACAGCGCCCACTGCGGGAGCATGGTGGACAACAACCTGCGCATCACCAACTGGAACCGCAAGCTGGGCTGCAAGTGCCAGTACAAGCACATCGTGGACTGGTGCGGCTGCTCGCCCAACGACTTCAAGCCGGCCGACTTCCACCGCTTCCAGGTGAGTGGAGACTGACCTCCATGTGATAACCCCAAAGCCGCTAATGCCCCCATTCAAGCCAGTTTATTTTTATATGGCATACTTCCCATCATGCCTTGTTCTTGCAAAGCTTAGAAATAACAGAGCAATGCATTAGAACTAACTTCAGGAGGGCTTTAAGGGGGGAGCAGTCCAGGCCCCCCACCCATTTCGTCCTCGTTCATGACAATGAGCTTGAACGGCGGATCCCAGGGGTCCCGGGTGACGGATGGGCCCCTCCCTCCTCATCATTAGCAAGGCATTGGTAATTAACAGTGAGGGAGGCCGGCACTGATCTGGGCAGGGGAGGTCTTTCATCGATACTGCATTGTACGTGGTGGGAGAGGGCGACAGTGTGGTTTATTAAGAAGGGTCCTCCAAAAGCCAGAAGCTAGTTCAGCAGAGGTTTCCCGAAGTGAAACGTCCCGGAGTCCGAATATGGAACGGCAATGGCCACCCGGTTCTTTCTGTGTGGAAAACTACAGCCTCCATCCCCAGAATAGCACGGCCGACTCCCAGTCAGATCGCGGCCACATGCCTTGTGATTTCTGAGTGTGTCCCATTACCAAACATCCCGTCCTTAAGGACGTGTGCCGGTCAGGACTGATCGATGCTCAGTCCTGCTGCCTCTCAAACTGCTTTTCAGGTCAGTGTTTCAGCAAGTCATCCCCTTCCCATAATCCTCTGGGGCCCCTGCATGACAAAGAGAGTTCCTACTTTCTGCCGCTCAAAGGGAGTCATCGTGCAGTAATCGCAGCTTGCGTGTGAGCCTGAATCAGAAGACGACTCACACAAATTTCCTGGATAAGCAGCCATTAAGAAGCTCTAGGTCCCCATCCATAAATACCTCATAGATTCTTACGTAATTGCAGTTAGGCCACGTTTTTGGAGCTGTCAAAAGCGTTTGAGAAATCCTCGTCTAAAAATCCTGCTGGCAGACGGCTCTCTGGCGTTATATATATATAAAGCCAGTGACTAAGGGCTCGATCAGGCAGTCACATGCGAAGGATGTGCAGCTCCGAGGTTTACGGGAGGCCTAGTGGGTGAGGCAGAAGCTGGATAGCGGATTTGGGATGAGCAGCATCATTACGGATGAAGAGCAGCCGTCTCAGCTGAATGTCTTTGAAGGATCCTCTCTTCAGCTGGCGTTTTGGCCGCTTCGCCCTCGTCCGACTGTAAATTCCCGTGCCGTGGCTTCAGAGGGAGGTGTGTGTGCGGCAGGAGGTGCACAGGAAATATTTCTCAGAAGCCTCCGTTGACTCCAAACCCTCCCTGAAACAGCCGTTGTGTATATAGCCATAACGCCCCACCTCTCCAGACAGCTCAGCGCAGACAGCGCGTCTCACGGCGTTAGCTATTAATAACGTGCTTTCTCTGCTATGAGTGCAGGGCCGGTGGTAGCCGTGGCTGAAATGCACAGTGACAACCTGCTCTGTCACTAAGCCCTGTTCCCCACTGGGAAAACACAGCTGAACGGGGCACTGCTCATATAGCACCCCCTTTGCCCCCCCTCCCCTTTTAAGACTCTTTTAAACCCTCCATCATGGTAGTGGACGGTAATCCTTATCATTAAATACGTCTGTAAGCCGCGTTCATGTGGCTGTCAGCGAGTTGCTTTGTAGACGGAGGACACTGAGGGGAGAGATGGCCCTAATACACGCAGGTCTTCTGCTCCACACAGTCGGCGCTCTCGCTTCCATCTTACCAGGGGGAGGTAAACGCTCCGTGTGAAATCAGTGCATCACCATCCCTATCTCTCCCCCAAACAGCAGACAGCCAGGCCCACCTTCTTCGCCCGCAAGTTCGAGGCGAGCGTGAACCAGGAGGTGGTGAACCAGTTGGACGCCTTCCTGTTTGGCGCGGTGCCCGCCGACACGCCAGGCCTCAAGGCGTACTGGGAGAACGTCTTCGACGAGGCCGACGGCGTGCACAGCCTGAAGGACGCCCAGCTCACGCACTACCACGCCTTCGGCCGCATGGGGCTGGCCCGCGCCGCCAGCTCGCTGCAGGGGGATGGCCGCGACCGCAGCTGCAGGTGGGACCCCCGCCGGCCTCCCCAGCACCCCCTGTCTCTGTACACGCCATTCTGTCTGTTGGTACATATGGCTGCTCATCTCCTTTCCAGCCATACTGTGTTTTGGAGCTCAGCTGTGAAACCCAGTGTTTTTCAGCAGGTGCTCACCCGTCTCCTATGGGACATTTTACCTACAGTGCTTCCTGTGATGGTTGTGGTTAATTTGATGCTTGTGGTCCTTGATCAGTCACATCTTCCTTCAAAAAAAGCCTTTGGATAGAATGACTGGCTCACCATCCTGGGTGTCCCCTCTGCCCTGGGTGTCCCCTGTCCAAGGGTCTCTTCTCTGGCCTGGATATCCACTGTACCCTGGGTGTCCCCTCTGCCCTGGGTGTCCCCTGTCCAAGGGTCTCTCCTCTGGCCTGGGTAGCCACTGTACCTTGGGTGTCCCCTGTCCCAGGTTGTCTTCTCTGCCCATGGTGTCCCATCTGCCCAGGATCTCTGGGGTGTCCCCTGTCCCTGGGGGTTTCTCCTCTGCCCTGGGTATCCCCTGTCCCCATGGTGTCCCATCTGCCCAGGATGTCTGGGGTGTCCCCTGTCCCAGGGTGTCTTCTCTACCCATTATGTCCCCTATCCCTGGGGTGTCTCCTCTTTCCTGGGGGTCCCCTGTCGCCATGATGTCTCCTGTGTCCGGGGTGTTTCCTGTGCCCAGGTTGTCCTCTCTGCCCTGGGTGTCCCCTGTCCAAGGGTCTCTTCTCTGGCCTGGATATCCACTGTACCCTGGGTGTCCCCTCTGCCCTGGGTGTCCCCTGTCCAAGGGTCTCTTCTCTGGCCTGGATATCCACTGTACCCTGGGTGTCCCCTCTGCCCTGGGTGTCCCCTGTCCAAGGGTCTCTTCTCTGGCCTGGATATCCACTGTACCCTGGG